AAATAGAAAAATGACCAAATGAACAGTACTTTTCGAAATTAAAAACGGATGCGTTTCTGATTAAATTGAAACCTGAGGTCATTTTTCCTTGATAGATGATGTTAAGAGCTTCGAGTGAGACTTGGAACGACCTTGTTTCGATTTTTCTAGAATTAGTTATGATTTTCCAAAGTTATGCCAAGTTTAAGGTTACATTGAATAGTAATGCGGGAAAAGAAATTTTCAAATTCAGGTTTTTCAACCTGGTAACCTTAAATTGCGCTTCCGAATATCTTAACTTGGCACAATATAAGGTCGCAAACATAAGGTGTTACAATTTCTCTCACTCGAATTTCCTTTCTCTCTCTTGTAATTTAAGAGCAAAATATTCCCTCTCTAAGAACCTCTCTTGGCCAAAATGTGAAGAGATGGGGGGTATTTATAGTGTTCTATTTAACTCTTAACCCTTGGAGTTTCATAAAATTACAAGGGGCATGTGGCTAAATCTCAACCCTCCATTTTTCTCTTCATTACACATGGACAAATCTTAGGCTAGGAGACTTGTGGTCTTGCCATGTAAGAGGGTGATGCCATGGTGTTGATGTCACAATGTTATGTCATCCAAGATTAATTAGTTTAATCCTTGGTTAACCTCCTTAATCCCCTTGATTAACTTCTTTAATCACCTTCTTGAATCAAAATTTTTATTTCATTTTTAAATTCTTTTCCACATTTTGATAGCTAAAATGGCGTGAAAATAGACAGAAAAATTTGGAAAAAAATTCGCTTCCCTAAGTATCCTGTCATTCTCCTCAGTACTGGTGCTTAGTCAAACGAATTTTTCCTGTATCCTATCTAATCCAGTGTCTCCAAAAATTCATCTCAGTATGCCAATAACCTTCTTTTAATGTAAGAAAGTTTTATGATTTTTTTCAGAATTTATTTCACCCTATATCTCTTTAAATTCCAGCTCTTCTAGAATTAGTGTTCTGCTAACAAAAATTAAACTTTAAATATTATTAAAGCTAACCACTTTACCTTCTAAGGTTGGAAGCAATTTTATAAATTATAATAATCTCTCAAATAATTTTATCCTATTTTTTCTAAATTATTGAAGCCTCTAGTTATTTTAAATAATTAATTTTGACTACCTTTGCTCAATGCAACTAAAAATGCTTAGAAAGACCAAAAATTTTATATTAAATTATTTATCTCTTGTTAATGCCTCTAGGGCCTCACATACTATTCTAGACCCTTAATTTTATTTTTATGATTTTTTGAGAATTTTTGAGAATTTTTATCCTTTCTTCCCAACCAATTCTTTCTTTAAGTGATATTTTAAAAATATCAGTCCGGATACTGCCCAGGTTTCAGTTCAAAAGCTATGTCATCTGCCACATCCTGAAAAATTTAACCTTGGAATAGAAAGTTAAAAATTGAGTTGAGGGCTAGTATAGAAAAGAGTTAGAAGGATAAAACAACTTTTGATATGAAACCCAAATAAGGTTTGGATTGATATTTTTAGAATTATCAGTCTAAAAAGGGCAAGAGGAAAAAATTTGAGAAAAATTCTAGAAAATTTTCAAAAAATTGTAAAAAGGTAAATTAGAAGTTTTGGAATCTCAATTGAGACCCCAAAGGTGCAAATAGTATTTTCGAAATAGAGGTTTTTCAAAAAAATAGTGAAATGGGTGAAAAATAATTATTTTAAATATGTAGAGGCCTCAATAATTTCCAAAAAAATATGAAAAAAATTATCTAAATATTTGATTAAATTTATTAAATTGAGTTTAGGCCCTGAAAGTATAGGAATTATTTTTAGGGAATTTATTTTCAAAGTCTTACCGATAAAAGTCCTATTTCGAAGGAAATTCAAAATAAATAGTTAGAGAAGGAAATAAATTCTAGGGAAAATTACTGTAGAATCCCACAGAAGAGAATTTACTACCAGAAGGTCCCATGAAATCCCCAAATTCCTCCTAAGTCCCCAAGGACCTCTGGGTAAATAATTTCAATTGTGATATTACGTACTTGCCCTTGGGTAAATAAAGGAAAGAAAAGAGGGAGAGACACTGATTGGCTTCATTTAGTGCGCTTATTTGTTATGCATGCACGAGGAAGACAAGCTTTTGAAAGAAAGAAGGGAGGTATGCGTTGGTACTCCATTGCAGGCAAGCCATATTATTTCTTCATCTTCTTGGTAGGTCTCATCATTAACAACATTTCTCTTCTTCTGTACACAACCAGTGTCAAGTTTAATGTTGGTCTGAAAAGTTGATTGGGTGTTGATATGTGGGTATTAAGGATGTGATTCAACTCACTAGAAATATCAAGGGAGGCTCATTTTAGTCATATGTGGTTTTAATCATGTTAGGTGTGATTCTACTATGTGTAGCAAGGGTTAGAAAGCAATGCTCTGTTTTTCGGTGAATGATGCTCTGTTTTTCGGTCATTGATGCTGTGTTGCTAATGAAAATGAGTGGAAAATAACAGATATTTATTATTATAACCCCTCAAATGCGATGGTTAAATGTGTTGTTAATGGGTACATCGAAGGTTGTTAATATAACTGTATGACTTGTTATTAACAACCAGTCGCAGGTTTAATTCTTGTCTGAAAAGTTGATTGGGTGTGGATATGTGGGTATTAAGGATGTGATTTAAGTCACTAGAAATATCAAGGGAGGCTCATTTTAGTCATATGTGGTTTTAATCATGTTAGGTGTGGTTTTACTATGTGTGGCTATGGTTAGAAAGCAATGCTCTATTTTTCGGTGAATGATGCTCTGTTTTTGGGTCATTGATGCTGTGTTGCTGATGAAAACGAGTGGAAAATAATAGATATTTATTATTGTAACCCCTCAAATGCGATGGTTAAATGTGTTGTTAATGGGTACATCGAAGGTTGTTAATATAACTGTATGACTTGTTATTAACAAGTGATTGTGGCAAGTTCATATTAAGGATGGCAACTTCCAGTGGGAAGCAATTGTTTTGCTACCTCCATATAGGAGGACAATTTATTAATGGTCTAGAAGGTGGAACGCAGTATGTTGGAGGTGGTGTGAGAACAAGAATGATAAAGGAAGGAACATCATATGGAGAATTTAAAACAATGGTGACATCAATTGTGGGAAAAGAAAGTAATGGAATGGTTATGAAATTCACAGTAACCTTTGATGAGTGTACATTTGTGGATCTTGTAGATGATGAAGGAGTAGAACATTTGATTAACTTCAATGGTGATAGTGGTCATGTATATATAGGAGAAAATGGATATCAAAATTCACAACTAACAAGGGATGTTGTAATAGAAGAGCAACATGTGTAAGTTGTGTTATTTAAATTTCAAAGTAATATTAGCTATTGTCAACTGTTGTGCATAAGTTGTTATTATAGTGATCGAAGGTTGTCATTAACGACCCCTTGACCTGTTCTGTTATGTAAGATGGAAGACTTGTTTGGAGGTTCAGATACAATGTCCATGTCTCCACCTAATGTGGTTAGTGAAGACCCATTATCATTGCCATGTGGTTCAGAAATAATGCCAACCCCAATTCCGAAAATGAATTCAACAAAGTGGAAGGGTTTGGTTATTGGAGAAGGACAAATTTTTCCTAATGCAGTGGGCCCTTAGGCAAGCACTATATAGGTACAGTATTGCTGTGAAGTTTTCATACAAGTTTGTGAAGAACAATCAACAAAAGATCATTATGAAGTGTATGGCGGAGGGATGCCCATGGTATATGGGTGCATACTCAATGGGACCAAGACAAGATTCTAAGTTCTTAATAATTAGAACCTTAAGAAGTGAGCATGTGCATTATGCACAGGATAGCTTGGTTGTATCTCACTCTGGAGGGTCAAACTTAACATCATAAATCATGATAGATTCTTTGAGGTGTAATATAGACAAGAATGCTAATGAAATTAGAAGAGATCTGTACAGAGAATATGGGGTGCGACTGAATTATAGTCAAGCATACAGGGGTAGAGAAAGAGCATTGAGGGAAATACATGGTCGTGCACAGGATTCATACATGGTGATTCCCTGGATTTGTGAAAGGCTTATTGAAACTGATCCAAACACAATTGCTCGATGGGAAGGGTTGGATAGTAACAGATTTGAGAGGGTGTTCATTGCTTATGGATGCTCAATTAATGGATTTTTAGAAGGGTGTCGACATATACTTTATATAGATGGCTGTCATCTAAGTGGTCCTTACAGGGGGACATTGATTTCAGCTAATGCATATGATGCGGACAATGAACTGTTTCCATTAGCATATGCTATAGTTAGTGGGGAGACATATGATGATTGGGCTTGGTTTCTCCAGAACGTCAAAGACATCACAAGATCAGTGGAGACAACGATAGTTTCAGATCAGAATAATGCCATTATAGGTGCTGTGCGGACAGTATTTGGTGGCGAGAGACATGCTTTTTGCTACAGGCATGTGAAAGAAAATTTTAGTGCACATTATTTAAAAATTAACCGAGGCAGGGGACGAGTTTTAGGTACTTCAAAGGACATCGCATTGAAAATACTAGATGGAATCGCCTATACAAGGATTGAGGATGAATATGTTGCTGCAATGGGGAAACTTAGATCATTTTGTCCACAATTAGCTGATTGGGTTGACACTCAAGGAGATGTAGATCGGTGGGCTTTAAGCAAATTCCTGTTTAAACGATGGGATAACATCACCACTAATGTTGCAGAGTCGTTTAATGCCTGGATTTTGAAGGAGAGGAAGCACAATGTGTTAGTTCTCATACATGAGCATATGGAGAAATTAGCCAAGAAGATGGTTGCAAGCAAAATGGCAATGGGAAATTGGACAAATGGCATTGGGCCAAATATTGAGTCCAAGTTGCAAGAAAAAGTAGCAAGAGCGGAGAATATGCATAGTGTATATTATGGAGATAACCGAGTTTAAGTTCATACTACATCTCCTACTGGAATAATTTGTGTCACTATTGATCTCACAACACACAAATGCACTTGTTTAGCATGGCAAATGAGCGGAGTACCTTGTGTTCATGCTTATGCAGTGATAAAGCTACTTCATGGTAGTGTTTATGAATTTGTCGATCATTGCTATAAGCTGTCAGCCCAAGAGAAGATATATGCAAGTAGTATGAGGCCAATTGCAACACATGATTGTCCTCATCTCGAAGCTCTCACTGTTACGCAAATGATAACGGGAACATTTTTACAGCCACCAATTACTAAAAGACCCTCAGGGAGGCAAAAGAAAAGAAGGATTGAATCTCAATTTCAAAGCAAAAAACTTTACCACTGTGGAAGATGCCATGAGCCAGGCCACACTGTGAAGACTTGCCAGAACCCCAATCCAAGTTGAGCTTTACTGGTGGCTTGTTGATATGTCATTTTGTGAATGCTTGTGACAGCATTTTTTTTTGGTAAATATCATAACCTATACCTCAAGTTGTCCGTCATTATCCACACATGCAACCCGTATGCTTTTTTGAATAAGTTGTAAATTTGGTGTAGTTACATTGTACATATATATATCAAGTGGTAAATGACACCTGGTTGTAATCTGATATAACATCATTTCTGTATTTTTGATGTACTGGTCAATAGGTTGTAATGGACTTGTTATCAGACGCCATGCAGGTTGTCATTAGCAGTCTCAATTATGTTACTGATATAAAGTGACAATTTCTCCTACTTCCAGTGTTTAGTGATTTCTTAAGACATTCGAGCTATGTTAAAGTCATAACATGATATGATTTGGTTAGAATTTGATCTTATGTGGAGGTTGTGGTATCCCTAGTGTCAGTTGTCAGGGGCAATGTGAATGTTGTTAACCAATTCTATTCGGGTTGTAAACAATCCCTGTTGAGGTTGTAAATGAATTGCTACAATAAAAATCTGCTGTAATCATATTTGGTCCAGTTAAAGTTGTTAATGACTTTAAAATGCTCCCAATTTTTGTTATTAAGGTCATTATATGTGCTGATAATATAATTAAGTTAAGAGCTGTGTAATCAATTTTTGAACAACCCCTGTTGAGGTTGTAAATAGATGTGGCAGAGAGGACTCTGATATATGCCTATCATGTCACCATGGTTACCATTTGTTCATCTAGTCTTATTCAGTCTGCATTTCTGGACATAATGAAAACACATGAATGCCTTTACAAAAACTTGATAACCAGTAAAGGATATCAAAACACATTAGCATATCTTAACATCCAGCTGTCATTACATGGTCAAAGAAAAGAATAAAATGTGAACTTGACGTTCAGATGTCACTATGCTGTCAAATAAATAAATGTAAATACAATATATGCTCGTCATTTATTTCTTCCTCTTGCTTTGGGGGTTTCCTCATAGCAAAGACAGCACTTCATCGCCATGTAGGTTGTTTCAATGAGTCACGACCCACCACAAGCATCCAACCTTCAAGTCATGGATTTCTTCAAGGGAGTACTTAGGCATTGTGTAGCCGTCGTCACCATACTCAATGCTATCCCATGTTTGTAACCAGCTCAACACATGAACCCCACAAGAGTCCCTACAAAGGAAAAACAAGTACTCTAGTCAATGAACATTAGCTCCCAAGAGCTGAGACACAAGTACTTGTTGTGCAGAAAAATAACTCACGTGTCAGATTGCACATGAACTTTTACCCATGTGACTTCCTTGTCAATCTTGTCCTCCTCTGCAAACAGTGATGGCTTCAACACACGAAGCACTTGGCAGAAACAATCTCTCTGCAAAAAGGGACAAACAGAAGAAACAAGTTTGAAAGTTGTGAATGACAAGTTATCAGGAAGCATTAACAACCTTCATAGTAGCCAATGAAAAGTAATCAGCAGGCATTAACAACCAGGACAGTTAAGCAGACAAGCAACCATAACATATTAACAAGTTATAGAATGAATGTAAACTTGTGCATACAATCCCTCTTGCCATGAATTGCTTAGGATCTATCTGTCCTTTCTTTTTCCCTTGCTTCCTTTGTGGTTTCTTCCCTGTTTTCATTGCTTCTTCTTCCTCTCTTTGTAATCTCAACATCGTCAAATTGTCCACCAAGGAGTCAAGGGCATAGAAATGCATGGTTCTTACATCCATCACATAACAAACCAATGGTAATTGAAAAGGGTGGGGCCAAATATGAAGTCACAGTCTCCAATGTTATATCCTACGTGCTCCGGTAAGATTTCATGTTCATGTTTTTCCATGCTCCACCTAAGAGGATTAGCGGCCATTGTTTGCATTCACTCGGTGAAAAAATGTGCCTACTGACACAACCGTGGTTCTCTTTTTCATCTCCCACCAAGGTTCTCACCATAATAGACATGAACTATATCACAGATACAAATAGTTAGTCATGATCATAATGACACTGGCAGTTCTCTATCTATATAAACAACTGTCTTACCCTGTTGTTCATCCATTTCCTGTCTTGTAGGCAGCAAAGCTTAGCACATGCAAAGAAGTACCCATACATCTCTACAATGTACCTGCAGTAAAAGGAACAATGAGCACAAGAGTTGTATGTGTAAAATTGTTGTCAGTCAGTTGTCCCAATTACAATCAGTCCCAACACTTACTTTGCACCTTCATCTTGATCACATCTTCTCGTGCACATCTGGAATAATTCCTCTTTCTCGTCAGGTTTTCTCTTGCCACGAGCTTTTTTCACCTCCTCTAACCAGGGAGATTTGATTGCACAGCTTCTCACCGTGTTGATCTTCATACATCCATTTGCCCTTGTGCTTGCTAGTTTATTTCATCCTTTCCCTCCATATCATCACCTACACCCTTATCCTCTTCTGCTACTGCATCACTAGACTTGTCTTCTGTTTTTTCTTCTCCATCATCCTCTGATTCAAAGTGACTCCCTTCTCCTTTCTCCTCAGGTTGAGATTGACTCTCTTCTTCATGCGAAGCACTTTTGCCCTCTTCTTTATCATCTCTTTCTAGTTCACTCTGTTGTTCCTCTTGTGACAGAATTGAATCTTTTGGGCTTCCTTTACCTTCTTGACCGGTCTCTTCATCTTCAGTTACCTTCTCTTTCTCATCTTCACTACTTACTGCTTCCATCACATCTTCCTTCTCAATCTCATCCGTTAACCTCAACTGCAGGGAAACCAACTCTTCTCCAATTGTCGACACCAACCCTTCAACCATGGTCATCAACCTTTCATACGTTCTCTTGATTTCCTGCAAAACAACAATAATGAAAGTTATCATTACTCCAAATTCTACACAGCACCAAAATAAGCTTGACATGATTTACTTACAGGGTGGGTTAGCTTTATTTCTGTGTTGGATACACTTGTAGAAGCCCCACCGACACTCGGAACGCCATGCAGTATACCTCTGTCACTATTCTTTTCTGATTTCACTCTTGCCTTCACTTTTTCCTCATCCCAATAACTAATGGCATTTTTATTTTTTGCAGCCTTTTCTTTTCTGAGAGAAAAGTGTTGTAGGCAATAAATCTGCATGTGAAGTAAATGATAACTTAGATATACAACAATAACAACATGCAGAGAGGCCACTGACAACATAAACAACGGCCAATCACAACCGACACAGTGTCCAATAACAACATACACAGTGGCCAATCACAACCTACACATAAGCTTATCATAACCTACATTTGCGCCATTCACAACATGTACAGCAGCCAATGACAACCCATACTCAACTGAATGACAACACGAATAGAATGCAATTACAAACTATACATAACCAGATGACAAACCAACACAGGCCAATGAGAACCTGCACATAGGACAATAACAACCTTCACACTAGCCAGTCACAACATATGCATAAGCAGTTCACAGCGTACATTTCTCCAACTGATGACATAGAGTAGTAAATAACAACATACACAGTGTCCAATCACAACCTACACATAAGCTTGTCACAACCTACATTTGCGCCATTCACAACATGTGCAGCAGCCAATGACAACCCATACTCAACCGAATGATAACACGAACAGAATGCAATTACAACCTATACATAACCAGGTGACAAACTAACACAGGCCAATGACCTTAGTAGCAACCACTAACATCCCACGCTAAACCAAATGACAACATGCACACCATACAGTCACAACCTACGCATCAGCTAATCACAACCTACATTTGTGTCATTCACAACATGCACAGCAGCCAATGACAACCCACGATAAACCGAATGACAACACGAACAGAAGACAATTACAACTTATACATAACCAAGTGACAGACCAACATAGTCCAATAACAACCTGCACACAGGAAAATAACAACCTTGACACCAGCCAATCACAACCTATACATAAGCAGTTGACAGAGTACATTTCTCCAATTGACAACACAGTAGTAAATAACAACGTACAGAGCAACCAATCACAACATACACAGCACATTGACAATACAACTAACATCAAAGTAAATGAATCATACCCACACTTACCATTAAGAAGTACAAGCAACCTCCCATCAGCTTTTCCTTTCTTCTTTCCTTTCTTGAACTCTGCAATTGAGTTGCAGAATTCTTTCAAAACTAAGCTGCTCCAATCATAGTGTCCTAAACTATCCTTTGTCACCACCATGACTTTCAACACTTTATCACTCACCCATACACTAGAGCCAGGATACAAGAGGACTCCTAGTGCATACATAACAAAAAGGAATTCAAACTTTTCTTCCTCTTTTCCTTCAATCAACCATCTTCCTATTATTTTGTATGGCACTTTCCCGTAGTCACTCCTTAATTTCTTGAACGTTTCATCTTCATTCTCCACATTTATTTTAATATCTTCCCCCTTAAATGGTAGACCCATCAATTCATTTACATCTTCAGGCCCCATTTCATGCGTCTTCCCTCGAATTGAAATTTGCTTACTTACAGGGTCAAACACACGGATCAATTCACCACAAAAATCTCTATAGATTTGTAAGCAGCATATGTCAACCAATTTATCAAAACCAATTCTTTTCAGTCTTTCCATCTTATCTTTACTTTTCTTTAACTGCTTGCAGACTTCCATAAATTGTCCTGGAGCACACCATGTGTGAAAGGGAACAATATAATTCTTCCCTTTTGGTGGGACTCTCATTTCTTTAGCCCTTTCACCATATTGTTCTTTCTCCTCTTCTGTTAACTTCCCCCAAGCCTTTTTCACAGAGTTAGTGGCCTCTTCAAAAGACTTAAACTTCTTCTTGTTCTGCTCATAAAACTCTTCAGTAAATAGTATGTATCCGAAGAAATTCCTAGCCCTTTGTCCATCTTTGCTCTTACTCTTTTTAGTCATTTTGTTCAACTGCAAAAAGGAAAAAAAAATTATCATCAACATATATTTTAAAATAGTAAGTATCTTCAA